GGGACACCCTCCCATGGATAGTGTGGAGTCCCAGATATTTCCCTAGCTCCGTCTTCAGAGGAATTCCTGCTCGCCTGCTAAAATGAGCTGCCTTCTGACGGTCTACATTTGGCGAAACATACAGCAGGGATTTGCTATAGTTCACTCTTTGGCCCGAGCTGAAGCAGAAATCATCTAGGAATTGCCGGATAATCCTGATCTGTCTCGTCTCTGCTTCTGCAAACAACAAAAGATCGTCTGCAAAAAAGAGGTGAGTGAGCGGAGGACCTCCCCTAGTTAGCTAAACAGCTTTCCAACTCTTGTTATTCACTGCCTCATCAATCAAATGATAAAGACGTTCCATGCATAAAACAAAAAGGTAGGGAGAGAGGGGGTCTCCCTGGCGAACTCCCCGAGTTGGGAGCAACGGTTGTGACAGCTCCCCATTCCAGAGAATTCTCATCCGATTCTGCTCCACACAGTACATGATACAGTTGATCCACGAGCTAGGTAGCCCCACTTCTTTCAGAGTGTCACGAAGAAAATCCCATCTCAACCTATCATAAGCCTTCTCTAGGTCGATCTTGAGGATGATCCCTCCCTTCTTCCCTTTCCTCTTGTCGAGAGTATGGATGACTTCCTGCACCACGATGATATTGTCTGTAGTCTGTCTTCCCGGGATGAAACTGCTTTGCCTTGGTGAGACAAGCTTCCTCATGATCGGTTTCAACCTGTTAGTCATAGCCTTTGTAATGGCCTTCAGACTGACATTATTGAGGGATATAGGTCGAAGCTGAGAGACGAACTCCGGACTATCCACCTTCGGGATGAGCACCACTGTAGACTCCGAGACGGCTTCCGGAAGAGTGCCTGCAGAGAAGAAATTAAGAGCCAAATCTGTTAGAGCCTTACCTACCACCCGCCACATTTGTTGATAGAAGACCGCCTGAAAACCATCTGGTCCAGGAGCTTGATACGGTTTCATATAAAAAATGGCCCTGTGGATATCGGTGATGGTAAAGGGTCGCAGAAGCATCATCAACTCTGTCTGCTCAATCCTGGGGAACGCGTTCTTGGGCAATCTGTCCTCGTAGCCGGAATCATCCTGCAGGTACAACTGGGCTAAAGAGTCAAAAACAAGGTCAGCAAGCTCCCGCGGCTCCTGAACCCAATCACCATTGGAATCCCGGAGCGTCAAGATTTTGTTGCGCCGTCTCCGCCTGTTGACCTGCTGATGGAAATAGGAAGTGTTCCTCTCCCCGAACTTCACCCACTGCTCCCTTGATCGCTGAAACCAGAAAAGTTCTTCTTGCTCGAGCACTTTGTCGAGTTCCGCCTCCAACCTGGCATGGAGTTTAGCCAAAGCCGGAGTGAAAGAGCTGGAAAGACGGACTTCAACCCCATGCAATCTGGCCAACAGTCTTTTTTTCTTTTGTTGAATGTTGCCAAAAACATTCACACTCCACTCCCTGAGTTTCTCTGCCAAAGAGCCAAGCGCCTGAGGTAGCTGAGCTTCTTCTTCCCAAGTACCTGCAACAAAATTTTGGAAGTCACTATGGGTAAACCACGCAGCTTCAAATCTAAAAGGGCGGGGATGGGAAGGAGATGGCTCCTGGGTAGCCACAGTGGTTAGGATAGGGTGGTGATCCTACTGAAGGCGGGGAAGATGAGACACAGTAGTGTTGGGGAAGAACGCATTCCACTGCAGATTGCATAGACTTCTATCCAGTCTACTAGCTTTGTGTGAATGAAATGAGTCTCCCCTTGTCCACGTGTATCTCGAACCCGAGAAACCCAAATCGATGAGCTCAGCCCTGTTGATCCTCTCATTAAACTTCTGGCATCTCCTAGCAGTCGCCGCCGAGGAAGGCCCTGTCTTCTCCTCGAGGCAACGAATAGCGTTGAAATCTCCGGTGAGAATCCATGGCTCGTCGACCTTCCCACTCTGATTGATAAGGTTGTCCCAAAGGTACCGTTGTAAGGACTGCCTGGGGGAGGCATAAACCGCGGTCAGCACCCAGGGGCGACCCCCATTCTGACGAACACGGACGGAGATGTGCTGACTGCAGGCTGAAAGAAGTTTCGTAGAGAATTTCCCACCATCCCAACAGATCCAAATCCCGCCCTTTCGCCCATCAGCATCCACTCTAATGGAGTTGGTAAAGCCGATTCTGTCATAAACTTTATCAGCCGAGCTCCCACTAATTTGGGGCTCCAGAAGAATCACGAAATCCGGACGATGATGGTGGATGCTGAGCTTCAAAGCTCTAGCGAAAGCTTTGCTACCTGCACCACCCACATTCCAAGAGAAAATTTTAACTAGAGGTTTGCACGACATGGGAAAGATATAAGAAAAGAAAGAGAGAAAAACGGGGTAAAGAGGAATGAAAAAACTCAGGCCGAGGCGAGCGTCGAAGAGCGGAGGCCTAGGACACCAATTAAACAGCAGGAGGGGACGGCTCTCCAAATGGCTCTCCATTCCTCAGCTCCAGGTTCGCAGCTTCCGCAGGGTCCTTCATCGCCGAGGTCTTCGTCGAAGAGTGCGCCGCTTCCGTCCAGGCAGAAATCTCCTGCAGAGTTAGCGAGGCCATCCGGGTTCTCGACTTCGATTTCTTCTCTTTCATCGGCGACCAGAGTTGCAGCGGACGGATCGGGTTGAGCTTGGACGGGGACCCTTTCTTCACACGCCCCTTAGTGCTCTTCTTTCCCTTCGTCCTGACCGCCGTTGACGGCGTGGCTTGGTCAACCCGACGGAGAGACGTTTTGTTAGGTGGAAGGACTTGCACCACTTGCATAACAGTCCCATTTGGGCCTGTGATCGTCGAAGTTAAGGGAGGGATGAAAGGGGCTTTGGGTTTGTCACCTTGGGCTTGAGGCCCGGCTTTAGTTGCTCTACTAGGTCCACTTTCCGGGTTCATAGGAGCTTCAGGCGGACTGTTCGACGTGGCCGCCTTCACAACATCTGAATTGGGCTGAAGGCCTTTTTTAGCCATAGATCCCAAGGATGGGCCTGGACCGAGAAGCCCCTTGCTTGTTGGCGTCTCCTCCTCCCTCATAATTCCTTTGCCTTTCCTTTTCTCCGTCCCGTTTTGAGTATCTCCATTCCCTTTCCTTTCTTGACCCGGAGACCGTTGGGGAGGTGGCGAGCTCTGCTGCTCCAAGTTTGGTAATGATTCCCTCGGCTCTTTACTTCTTGGTCCATTCTTACCATTTCTGGGTGTGATCGCCTGAGATGAGGCCCCCGAATCCCTTTGCTTTCCTTTGTTGACTGTCTCCCGCTGATTGCGCCGACCTTTGCGCGAGACGAGCATCCACGACCCGAAACCAGCATTGGTTTCCGTCGTCCCTTCCGGCGAGAGGTCCTGCTTCTCCCCGCCGGCGGCTCCACCAATCTCCGTGATCGACGCTGGGCGTAGAAGAGGGCAAACAGAAGAAGCATGGCCGATCTTCCCGCATTCGAAGCAAACGACCGGTAGATTCTCATACTCGACCGGCTGCCAATCATCATCTAACCATATTCTTGGAACAAGAGGCTTAGAGATGTCCACCTCAACGGCGAGACGGGCGAACTTCGCCCTTTGTTGAGTGAGGGTGTGGTAATCTAGTTTGATCGTCCGTCCGATCAGGTTTCCCAGGCTAGTGAGGACTTCCTTGTGGTAAAAATGAATTTTGAGCTCAGGCAGGTGGACCCAAACGATCATCGTCTTTGGGAGAGGATCTGACACTTTGAACCGAGGTGTCCACTGCTGAACCGCAATGTAATGATCAAAAATCATCCAGGGACCATCCGTAAGGGCTTTAAAGTAGTCTTGATCGTTGTTGAGTTTCACCAAGTAGCAAGCTTCGTCTAAGTCCCTGATTTCCATTGCCCCTGTTGGTCGCCATAGAGCTCTGAGGCGAGAGCACAGAGTATGAAAGCCTATTTTGATACCTAGCAGACGAACCACCAGTGTGCGGTGCCAAGGAGCGCATAGTCTGTTCTTGAACTCCGACGAGATACTCAAAGCCGGTTCGCCATTACGCACACCGGGAATCAAATCATGTTCGCCGACCGGAGTCCATTGGATCGCCAACGATTGTGACGTGGGGACGTTTTGCCCTCCTGTGAGCACACTGGCATAGGAGAAGGGATGTGTCTGCGCCGTCGAGGCGTGAGGAATCGGTGAAGTTGGGAGAGTCAATTGATTACCGACGTTGGCGTTCGTCTCTGCTACAACTGAGATCGCCCCCGAAACGGCGTCGCCGGCGGATGAATCCACCATCATCGCTGTCATAGGGGAGGGCTCTTTTGCTACTGTGGGCACGACCATATCAGGCGCTGCATTTTGAGGCTGTCCCGTGTCCGGCGGACGGCCGGTTGTTGAAAAAGCCGGTGCCGGAGGAGGATCCACCTGGAGAATCATCTTATTGACAAAATAATCAGGAGGAGCTATTGCCTCTATGTATTACTAGTTGGAGTTCATTAAGAATTAGAGAAATTAATTGCAAACGTCAATATTACGAGATCATTTGTTTGAGTCATTTAAAAAATGAATTTTTTAAAATAGACATTTGAGAAATATGGACATTTGAAATTGTAGACATTTGATTGATGTAGACATTTGAAAATGACTCTAACATCTTATGCAATATGTCAATTTTATGCCATGTTTTTATTTATGAGAAAGCATGTAAGAAAATGATTTAAACTGCATGCTTAAACCTATTTCAACAATTTAAGATATTAAAAGCCTATCATCTTGTACATGTAAAATGATAAGATTTTTTCAAGCATGATGGTATTCGATTAAATGAATCCCTTGATTATGTGACGCTCAATTTGACTTGTTCATATTTTTCTAGAGTTTTCCCGAGGCCAAGAGTCAAGGTTTAAAGCTGCAGAAAATCAAATTAGCAAACATAAGAAAAAATTTCCGCAAGTACTTTTTTTTTTTTTTGGGAAGTCCGCAGCTACTTTGAGTATGCATGTGATGCACTCTGACTACGAGGCTAATAGCAGTGGGCCCAAACGTAAAACACATGTGTCGTGAAATGATTTAATATGGGATACAGGTTGGGCCTAAGGCCCTTTACAAATTGTTCCGCTAAGTTGTTTCCGGATCAACGAACCTAAGCCTGAAACTTATGAGAGATGTCTTTAACGAAGGAATCCATCCATACCCAAATCCGATTATCCTCCATCTGCCACCGCCGTCCGATTCCGAAGAACTTCCCGGAGCTCCGACGCCCTCTCCCTCATATGCTTCACTTCACCGTTCTCCAAATCCATGAAACTCCTCACCATATCCGCAACTTCATCTCATCTCATCAACTCATCCCCTCCGACCGCTCCCTTCCTCGCCCTCCACCCAACTCTCCAGTCATCCATTTTTATCGATTTGCAATTAGGGGTTTGATCCTAGCGCAACGGCCAGCACAGCATCGGAACTCCGGCATTCAGAGATTCTAGCGTCGAATTCAACACGCAATGCGCCCAGAACCCTCCTACTGATTCGTGGGAGAGCACCCTCAATTATTGGACCATAATTTTGGTAGAGGCGGCGGTGGAGAACTGGAGATCGTTCTGTCTCATCGAAAGATCAGGAGGAATCGAACGCCGCTGCTCTCAAGTCTCAACCTTGGCGATAATTTTTTCCGTTTGTTGTTTGGAGGCAGAGTGGAAGCCGCCCACTGAGACGTAGAGTACATATACCTTGGGCTGAGCGTTTAGCCATTGAAGGTATTTGACATTAATGGGGTCCTCCTCCTGAAGCTTCAGATACGGGATGGAGGGCCCAATTGGGTAGATTGGAAAACTGAAATGGCGTTTTAGCGAGTCGAAGAGTTGCGGTTCGAGCTCCTAAGGCGAAGTGAAGCGGTGGCACTGGACTTTGGAAACGACGGAAGCGGATTCCAGAGCCACCGGCAGGACTAGCCGGCTTGCTTCGCTGATGAACGGTTGAAGGTCAAAGATTGGCGTCAGTGGAAGCCCTGGTATGTAATCCACCATCTCTTCTGCAAGCCCTGGATTAGCTTCACTTTCCCAAACAAAAAACTCGGATGAAAAATTCCCCAAAATTGATTCGATCGGTTAGCCAAGAATCTGTCGCTACAAAGAGAAATAAAGAGAGGAGAAATTAATTTCTTCAATTCAACAGCCCACCTGAGAAATGCGGTGGTCAAAGTGAAGAAACACGGAGAAAACAGAGGCGGCAGTCGGGTTCTCTACTCCAGGAAGCGTTTCTAATTGATGGGTGTGTGAAACAGAGCTTTCGCTTCCTAGAATTCGTGGCTAGGGGCAGCAAGGGCCATTGTGAGCTACTTGGTTGTGAAGTATAAAGAATGGACGGGAATAATGAAGTCGGTGAAGAGGATAGATTGAATAACGAGCGGATTCCACTGAGTTTTTCCTCGCGAGTTAAGCTAGTTCATTTTTCATGGTGCTTTGGAAATTTCTCTTTTGTCATCCTAGATATCACCAAATGATTAACAAGGTAAGGAACTTTTCATAATAAGAAAATCAGCGAATATTCTTCTTAGAGCTTGTTGATTTGACACAGTGAGCTTTGGAAATCGTTTTTGCGTCGTGGTAGATAGCGCGAAATGATTGACAAGGTACAAAGTTTTTCATTATCAGAGCAATGGCTAATAATGTCCATGATACTAGCCTTGCAAATCCATGAGTTGAAAGTACATCAATTTGCCCTACCACTATACAGACAGTTTAGTTCTCCAGTATTGGAATAATGGGATTCATGCTCAATGACCCGCTGAGTAGTATTCAGAAGACAAGTTCCCACCTCTTTCCTCCAAACCACCCTGCTGCTTTAGCGTCGACTTGGTGAAAAATTCAACCTGTTCTTCATCATCCAGAAGCAAGCTGACAGTTTTTGGGATCGTCGGCATCCCCACATTCAGGATTCCCTCTAGAACCTGAACCACCTGACTCATCATAGGCCGGTGACTCTCGTCGTCCTGAATGCACCAGCATGCCACCTTACACACTCTCAGAATCTCATTAGGATCTGCATCCCTTCCCAGCCTCCGATCCAACAATTCAACCACATCCCCACCTTCGTTTATCACGGTCATCGCTTCATATGGGAAGAATCTCATCTCCCCGTCGACATTTGATCTCCCCAAGTTCCTTCTCCCTGAAACAAACTCAAACAACATCATCCCGTAGCTGTATACATCCACCTTTGAAGTCACCGGAGTTCCCGAGATCCACTCCGGAGCCAAGTACCCTCTCGTCCCTCTCATTGTGGTCAGCACTCTGCTGAAATCCCTCCCCACCAGCTTCGCCAGTCCGAAATCCGCCACCTTCGGACACATATAGGCATCTAAAAGTATGTTCTCCGGCTTCACGTCACAATGGATGATGCAGTCCCGACACTTCTCGTGTAGATACGTCAGCCCTCTCGCTGTCCCCATCGCAATGTTGTACCTCGTCTTCCAGCTCAAAACCCCCGAACCCTCCATCGTGTCCTTGTTGGTCTGATGATTGAAAAGATGGGAATCGAGTGAGCGATTCGGCATGTGGTCGTAGACCAGCAGCTTGTGTGCTCCTTCCGAGCAGAACCCGACGAGTCGGACAAGGTTCACGTGCTGAATCGTCCCGATCGTGCTGACCTCCGACCTGAATTGCTTCTCTCCTTGTCTAATCCCTTCCAGTTTCTTCACCGCCACTGTTGAATCCGACAACACGCCTTTGTAAACAGAGCCAAATCCTCCTTCGCCTAATTTGTCGGAGAAATTCCTGGTGGCGCTCTGCAAATCTCTGTAGCTGAATGCCCTCAACGAGCCTTCTGCTGACTTCCCTCCCAGCTTCCTCATTCGCCTCTTCCTCCAGATTAGCACACCAATTACTGCGGCAAGAACTAGCACCATAGCTGAACCAACGACACCTCCGATCACGAGAGCATTATGGCTGTCGGAACCCCGTAATTCAGAAGCTGCAACTCTGACGAAGATTGTGCTTCCACTAGGCACATCTTGTTCCAAATTGAGCAATTCACCAAACCACACCAAACATTGATGATTCCGGTCATCGTACGAGTAAGCAGTACATGAACACCTATTCAAGCAAAATCCCCTGCACCCACCTGCATTTTCAGCTCCTGACACTTGTATTCGTGGATTGCTAGGCAATTTCATGTCATAGTATGGCAAGAATCCATCGCCACTACTAGAGATGTTCCCATTGCTACTACATTCAAGCCCTGCTCGCCTCGTGCACCCGCCATAGAAGACATTCGAGCCGTAATCTGCCTCAGATTTCGGGACAAACCCTTGCAGGCATCGACAGAAAGGCTGGGACCTCTGAGTACAGCTCCCGAACGAGCCGCAGTATCCGTACACCTCACACTGGACGCGAGGCTGAGTCCAGTACTGAGTCCACTCCTGACTCGACCCGAGGATCCAAGACAGCTGCTGAATCTGCCCGCCTACGTCCATCACGAACCGCGACACTAGGACCGAGCTGTTCATCGTGTAAGTGGCGTAGCTCTCGACGTCGTTGTCGACGAAGGAGTAGTTGTAGATGTTGGCATTTGGCGGGGCGTAAAGAGCTCTCATCTCTGGTACCAAGCTGAAGATCCGGCCGACCGGATCCCATGGCCCGCTTCTCCAGAAGTCCGTGGAGTTGTAGAAGATGAGGTACTGATCCGTCCCGTTGACGTCGAGAGAGACTGAGAAAGGGCCTGGAGAAGGGTCGTTGGCAGACTTCCACGAAGTGATGGCGCTGTTCTGCTTTGTGATCTTGTTGAACCCGAGCCTGCCTCCAGGGAGCCAATTGTTAACCGGGTGGTCGAAGCTCTCCCACAACCGGCTGGAATCAGACCGGTTCGATGCTGATAGGACAAGATTCCCATCGTCGAGGAGCACTGCTTCAATTCCGGCTGATGTGGAGTTTGAGATGATCGACCAAACCGGGAGGTTTCTGTCGTTAAAGAGGACCAAATTGCCGTCGGAGATTCGGAGTTGTGCTGCGAACCGATTCGAAACAGGGGTCTCTCGGTTTGCGACCCAGACTACGGTTTGTAGGGGGATTTGGTTGTACCATATGCCTATGTAATGGTTGGAACTGGAGTTGGAGCTGGAGCTGGACTTATTACCTGGGCTGAAGAAACCCATTGCAAAGGTTCCTCCGGAGGACACGATGGTTTGGTCGCCGGAGAGAGATTGATTCGTCGTGATCCGGTCGGCTCCATGAGCTTGGAAACAGAGGAAGCTGAAGATGAGAAAGTACAACATTAGAGCCCAGAGAGACAGAGAGGGTAAAGGAGGCTCTTTTAGTAACCCATGTCTGCAGCCTACTTTATAAGTTGATAGCTTTGTGAAGAAGAGCTTGGTAAAGTCAATAGGAGTCTTTTTCTTCCGTTGTTTGCTATTGACCTTCTCGTTGGTGGGAAGAACCACGAGACGAAAGATCGTCACTGCTTTGAAAACCCTGCCCATGGGTGTTTTGTCGTACGCCGGTTGGAAGCCAATTCAAGTTGAAATGGTGAAACGATTCCGTTTACCAGAAAGTAAGCAAAGTCCTTGACCATAGCTTTATGTTTTATGTAATATACTATTAGTCAGAATCAAGTGGAAAGTGAAGGGGGAAGGTGGTGATTATATGAAGTCAAGGTTGTTAAACTCCTATCGAATTCTCATTGGATCCAGACCAATTCGAGTTGAGATTCAAAACGGCTTTCAGAAAGCTTCTTGGTGTGATCCCTAAAGAGGGAGAAGAAGAGAGGGGGAAGGGAGGAAGAGGAACGAAGGAGGGGAGATGGTGGGTGAATAAAAGAAGGTTAGATAGATTTATTTTGTGAAAAATAAGTTTTTAATAGATATATGTAAGATAAATTTTATTTCAGTCATTACATCTTTAATTACTACTTTATTTGTATATATATTTAAAAAACATCTAAAATGATTCAAATCAGTCGGATCCCGATCAAACTCTTAAACCTCAAACACCTTATCTTCAGATTCCCATAAAAAAAAAAAAAAACCTTATCTGACTGGCTCAATGCCTTAAACGGTTTGACAACCTTAATATGAAGAGAGCACAAAAGTCTTTCCACGAGCCAAGATTCAGCGTTGGTATTTGTCTGATTGAAGATAGGGATTCATTAGTTTATTGATTTATAAGATTTAGGGTGCGGGGTTAGGTTAGGCTGTCGCTATTGTACTGGAAGAACAACAGGCAATTTACTGAACAACGCTACAACCACAAATTGCTGAAAGAGGGACGAATTTGATTAGCAAAGACATAATTGGCACTTGTTTGATAAGATGGTAGATTGAGATAATCTCTTAAACAAGATAGCTTTTGAATCGAGTTATAGATGCTTATCTCTGTTTGCACCTTGTCTAATTAAGCTACTAGCCGAAGTAAGGATTTAGAGTGAGCAGGGGCCGGAAATAATAAACTGTAACAGTTTTCCACGATTGAACCTAAATTTTGAAGGAGGGGGCTAATGGCTCTCATCGTACAATTTCTAAAGTTTTCACAGTATATAAATACAGACCGCACCCTCGAGGGGTGGTCTGGTAATTTTGCCCTGCCAGAAACTGCACCCTCCCGATGCGTTCTGCGATTCTCGAGGCGCTGACCGTACCTACCAGCTGCGGTCTTCGATCCATGGCGTGGATCGCTGAGGTGGCGTGCGGTCCGTCATTGGATCGCCGCCTGATCCAGTGGTCTCCAAGCCCGCTCCCGAGGAAACACAGACCGCACCTTCTTGGTGCGGTTCGCTTGCTGACGTGGCATGGAACGCACCTCCAATGTGCGGTTTATAGCTAAAACGCACCTTGGAGGTGCGGTTTCAAATAATGGTGCTATTTTGTAATTTCTTTGGACTGAGTGCTATTTTTGTAATTTTTTTTAAAGGTGCTATTTCTGAAAAAATCCAAATTTATAGAGGGATAGTTATTTCGTATTTGTCAATTAAACAAAACGCGGTACTTTTTTCTTCCATGATTATTAAGAAACAAACATATTGCATATGTCTTCCGTGATATAAGTTTGAACTAAAATTCATTTAAGGTAAGTTAACTTTTACATAATAGTTTTATCAGATGTTATGCTTTTTTGTAACTTGATTTTATTATTAGACCACACATTACGGAAGATTTTGAAAAACCGTGTCATGAACTTTATGGAGGGATAATTATTTCTTATGCATCAATTAAGCAAAAGTACTACGAAAGTCTTCCATAATGAATAAAATACTACGTAAAATATATCGAGGTATCTTCTCCGAAACTAAATTATCAAATGAATGAATGTCATTTTAAATATAATGAGTTTTTTATTCATGAAAAATATATAATTAGTTTTTTATCGTCGCAAAGCGCGGGCCAAAAAACTAGTTTTAAATTAAATGAAAAATAATAGCCCGTGGTCAGCACTGATATATATATGTTGGGTATGTGCCTTGATGGGCCATTGGGGGACATGGGCCCATGGAGGCTGCTTAGGCCCAAGCCCGCTTCAGTGCAAGGAGATGGGGATGTAAGGTAGAAGTAAGGCCCAGTCTAGGATCAACAGGCGCGTAACGACAAGAATGGAGCGGGGACCGTACAAATCAGGGACCAAAAGGCTGAGGGCATGCCACCTGGCTATGTGGTCCCTGCAGGCGCCAGGGGCTGGGAGCCCAAGAGCTGCCACGTGGAGGCGCCCGACAGTTGGGCCGTACCGAGCATTTAATGACGCGCTGACGTGGGGCTGAATTCTAGGAGCCTGGTCGGGGCCTCGACGAGTATAAATAGTGCTCGGTAGGTAGCATTTAAGCAGGTTGGCTTCTCTCACTAAAATCTCTCTTAGCACTTATCTCTCTAGATTTGGCACTGACTTGAGCGTCGGAGTGCTAACGGGCAGTCCGAAGCCCTTTAGACGCCTGTCTCTGCAGGGTCTAGGCGCCCCGGAGAACTTCATCAGTCGGAGGTCCGGAGAGGTGGGTCCGGAGGGTACGTGGCACAAACAATTGGCGCGCCAGGAAGGGGGCAGACGAGTGGGCGCATGGAAAACATGAACGAAGGAAACGAGGGGGAGGATAATTCAACTGAGTCATGAGTTGAGTATGGATGTAGAAGAGCAAGGGAGCCCTGGGCGCCTGTCGGCGGATGAAGGGAAATCCTTGACGAAGAGAGAGCTGTTCCGAATCATAGCTGACCAAGATCGGGCCATAGCGGCGTTCAGAAGGGAGTTGGAGGGGGAGCGAAGTGAAGACATGATGATGTACAACCCAGGAGTAAGAAAACGAGATAGGGCGGGGGAAGACTCGGAGTCACTGTAACACGAACTTCCGCACCACACCGAGCAGAGGCACGACATGCCTGGGCGCCCGCGCGCCTGGAGGCTGCCCGCCGAGCACACGCAGGCGGGTCCAAATGACGAATGGGCGCCTAGGAGGATTGTTAGGCGGTTCGGCGTCCGTCAACCCCTGGCACAAAGCATCCTGATGGAACCGGTGGGAACAACGATTCCTCCGTTACCCAGTTACGATGGAGTGGCCGACCCAGAGGATCATTTGAATAGCTACTTCACGAAGATGCAACTCTACAACAGCTCGGACGCCACGTTGTGTAAGGTGTTTCCATCCACGTTTGCGGGAGTGGTCTTGGATTGCTACCACCAAATCGAGGAGGGGGGCATAGAGTGTTTTGAGCAGTTCGCTGAATTATTCTTGTCCAAGTTCGCAAAACGGAAGCGTCGAACGTTGACCATAGGCGCACTGTTCAAAGTGAGGCAGAGGGAAGGTGAGGCGCTTAGGGAATTCTACGATCGGTGGATCTCGGTCTCCATGGCAGTCAAGGATGTCCAACCAGCGGTGTTGGGAGTTTGCCTGGATGCATGCACGTCGAGCGAAGAACTCTGCCGGGTCCTTTCTAAGCGAGATGTGGTGTCCACTGAAGACCTAGACCGGAAAGTACAGAAGGTGATCATGTTGGAGGAAACGTTGGATGCACGAAGGGCGGAAAAAAGGCGCCTTAGGGGTGATAAAGTGGAGGTAAGGCAGGCGCCCAGACCCATGTCTGGGAATTTCGGCCCACAAAGGAGGCCAGAAGCGCCGCGCCCCGTGCCAAGGAGCGCTGCAAACTTTACGGAGTACAATGACACCCTAAAAAATGTGCTACAATATGTGAAAGATAGGGGCTACCATATACGGTGGCCAGGGCCCATGCGTGGCCAACCGAACGAGAAAAATCTTGACAGATATTGTGACTTCCATCGTGACAAGAGGCACTATACGGCTGACTGCTACCAACTTAAGGCCGAGCTTCAGACTTTAGCAGACAAAGGCATGCTCAACGAATTTGTGAGGAGAGTGGAAAACAGGACCCATCTAACCTATGTGACAAGGCCGGCGCCTGAGGTGCCAATGATCCGAGAGGCGCCCGAAAAGCCAAAGACCCAGCAGGAGCCTGTGATACCGCCGCCCCCGTTTGAAGTTAACCAAGAGGGGGAGCCTAGTCGCGTCAGACTTACGGCCGAGTCCATAACCGGCACACTCGATTTGAGGGAGAAGTTGGAAAGAACTAGGCGCCTGAGGTCCGCATCGTTGGAGGCAAGGGCAGCGGTGCACATCCACTTTAATCAAGAACCGGATGAAGCATGCCAAGTCCCGTCGGAAGAGGCTTTGGAGATACAAGGAGTGATAGCAAGGTGTAAGACTAACTTCAACCCGTAAAGTCAAATTTGGCTCCCCAAGTAGCCAAATATGGCTTTTTAGCTCCCCAAACCCCATTTTCACTCCAACCCTACACAATGCTAAATTTAGCGTCCTACCTACCTTTTTTCAATTTATTACAATCAATCATACTTATTTGACCTCTAATTTTCATATTTCACTTTAATTTTCTATAGTTAGTTATTAGTTTTGAAAACAAAATTTTCGATGTAATTTTTTTTTATTCCGAGACAAAAAAAGTTTCGGAAAATTAGTCATTATTTTGTTACCGTTAACTTCGGGACCAATGAAAAAATACCAATTAAACATATAACATTTCATATCTTCTTTCAAACAATTAAACAAACAACATACACAATCAACCAATGACAAAATACCACACAAAAAAAGCAAAAAGAAAAAACAACACAATCAACCACTGAGAAAATCCTACAGAAAAAACAAAAAAAGAAAAGAGGACCCACCGCGGGTCCACCATTTCCTCTAGCCCAATTTGGCTTTTTCACCTTTTTGGAAGCTAAATTTGGCTCCCAATTCACCAATATCCATTTTTAGCTCCCAAAATAATGTGGGTTGGAGCACAAAAAAAGAGCTAAAAATGAGTAAATGGCTTTTTAGCTCTAGGGTTGGAGTTAGTCTAAGGTGAAAAGAATGTTGGTGGACACTGGCAGTTCAATGGATGTCCTCTTCAAAAGCACGTTCGAGCGCATGCAGCTAGCGCCTGAGCTGGTGCGTCCCTCGGACTCTGTGGTGATTGGGTTCTAGGGAGCGCCAGCTCAAGTTATCGGACGCGTGCGCCTGCCGTGGCTCTTGGTGATGAAACGCATTGT